CGCGGCCGCCCCGTTCTCCTCCTTGTGTCCGCGGAAGTAGAGGGCCACCTGCTTGCGGATGGTGGACGTCCGAGGGCCCCGCTCGTGCTGCACGGCTGCAGAGACAGACGGACACCGGCGCGGGGTCAGAGTCTGGGAGACACACGGCCACTGCTGCGCTGCAGGGCCACGCGCCACGGCAGGGCAGGCAAGGTCCCCGGAACGTGGGGGCGGAGGGCGCTCTGAGGTGGGCTGTCAGCCACGCTGTATGCGTTAGAGGAGCCGGGCCCAAAGTATCAGGTTAATGACATGCCTCAAGCAAGACTAGGCTTTCCCTGTCGGTGAGAGCCCCCTGGGAGGGGATAGCTAGGCATCCCCGTTCCCCCTTCCCGCAACTAGTCTCTGCACAGACTTTCCCGCTTGGCCCTAGGTTGGCTTCCCCACCGCCACCCTCCCCACTCCCGCCCACACAGAAAAGTCAGAGAGGGCCACAGAGGCAAGGCCCTGAGCCCAGGGACCCTGGGGGATGGGACAGGGAGAGCCCACCTCGGAGTGTGCTGGAGGAAGGCAGGGAGATGTGACAATTACCACCAACAGCTTAAACAAACAAATTAATGCGGGGCAATCTTCCTTTCGCCTAACTTGACAACTTGTCAATACACAAGTTCATCAGGTTGGACGCACTCTCCTGCTTTCCCCAGGGCGAGGGGAGGAAAGCGCTCTCCCCAATGAGCTGCTGTGGCTGCCACCTGGGCCGCCAATGCAAAGCCCACTCCACACCCGGTGCTGAGGCCCCATTCCTCCCTCCAGGCCATGACTACCCCACCACCTCACCACCCCACCCTGCTTTGCCCCAGCCTGGGGCACCCTTGCCAGGCCACCACCTGGCATCCAGAATCCTAGTTCTTGCTGTGCATGTTTAAGAGCCTTCTGGGAATTGGTGTCCAGACACCCACAGGCCTCACCCAACCTCTCCAGCCCCTTTCTGTTAAACCAAGGGAAAGCGCTGGAGAAGCCCAGATCACCACACTGGCGGTGCCGAATTTGGAATCCTGTTGAATTTGCAAATAGGGACTCAAAATTCCCTGTGCTCCTGTCTCTGTCCTCCTTCCTCCCACACACCGGTCTCCTAGTCCCTGATCTCCTCCTCCCCCAAAGACTATCCAGACTGTGAGATCCTGCAGGAGGCTAACAGGTTTGGGAGTGGCCACAAAAGGGCTGCAAGGAGGGTGAACTGAGTAATTAAGACGAGAGGCAGAAAATACCGCATATCCTCAGCAGAGTGGGGTTCCCAGGAACGCTGCCTTCTTGGGGGTGACTGTGGAGCACAGGTTTCCAATGTGGGCATGGGCCTTGCTCTAGGAAGTTCAAGGGGGTCGGGATGGGGCTCATGCTAAGAGATCGGGAAGGATATGACTGAAAGCCTGAGGCCAATTCCCAGCACCTAGAACAGAGGTTCTCAACCTGTGGGTCGCGACCCCTTTGGGGGTCGAACAACCCTTTCACAGGGGTCGCCTAAGACCATCGGAAAACACATATATAATTACATATTGTTTTTGTGATTAATCACTATGCTTTAATTATGTTCAATTTGTAACAATGAAAATACATCCTGCATATCAGATATTTACATTACGATTCATAACAGTAGCAACATTACAGTTATGACGTAGCAACGAAAATAATTTTATGGTTGGGGGTCACCACAACATGAGGAACTGTATTAAAGGGTTGCGGCATTAGGAAGGTTGAGAACCACTGCTCTAGAAAGAAGTGCTGGGGAGATGGTTGACATGCCTAGGAGTGCCATGTATTTTCTGTACATATCATTTACTTATCAAATAACGTTGTTAGAGTAAAAAGATGTACTGATTACCATCTTTGTTCATGTTGACTTCCAAACACTTCTTGAGCCGACATGCCCTGCACTGGTTTCTGTGCGTCTTGTCCACGGGGCAGCCTCCCTGGAAGAGAGCGCAGGCCGTCAGAGGCCCGTGGGCCTTCAGATGGTGATGCAAAGCTGGCGCTGGATCCGGAAACAGAACCTGCCACCTACACCTGGGTCCGAGAAGCAGTGAGGTCCTGGGGCACCAGCAGGGCCAGGTAGAGAAAGGGCTGGGGTTCCCAGGGCTACTTCAAGAGGACCAATTCATGACTCTATGAAAGCGCTCAAGTTGGAAAATCCTTCTCCAAGCAGGTGAAGGGTCACAGCGCCTGGTGTGCCAGACTCTGCTGTGCTGGGAGGAGAAGCTCCCGGGGGAACTTCTGTGAGTGGAGAAACTGGGGTGAGGCTTTTTCAGGACCGAAGACAGCGACCTGGACCCATAGGAAGAGGCCTGGGCGCCCCTTTGGGAGTGGGCTGGCCTGGAAGGATCCCTGCTATGGCCCCCTCCTGCTAGCTATCTTTCCGCTTAGGGTCTTAGTCTTCCTCTCTCTTTCACTTTCTGGGTGAGCCCATTTATTTGTCAGATAAATATCTCTCATTTATTCTCTACTCTCCTGTTTTCTCACTCTTGCCTTTGTACTGAAAGCCATCCTTATAAGCAGCATGGTGAGAGTTATCTTAAAGCCTTCTCTCAACTCAGATTCGTGGACACATAGTCATTCTCAAGTGTTGAGGCAGAAGCCAGAGTGGTTAGGAGGGCAGGGCCCCCAGAGGAAAGGGTGAGAAGGGAAGAGACCAAGGCCTGGGAAAAATCTAAAAATGCTCTCCGTGTAAATATAACCAGGAAGATAATGTAATGAACTGTCTGACAAAATGATAACATGGGTTGAGAATTTTAGTGTGATAACTGATAAAAAGAGGTAATTGCTGACTTAGAAATATTTATCAAGGACACGTGAGAAAATAAATATTTTATCTAATGCATTTTATGGGGAAATGTTGGCCATTAAAAGAAGAAATTTACAGAGAAATTTTCTTATGGAATTCATTCAGTATTTGGTGTTATTCCTGAGGAAACACATACAAAGCTATATAAAGAGTCACATATATATTATACACAGAAAATACACAAGTTTGGTGCTCTCTGGTGTTTATATGAGTTGCTACTGTTAGATTTGCAATGAGAAGAAAGAGAATAAAGTAAATGTATTTTTATTTTGCTTCATAATACCAAAATGTTATATATGTTGAAGTTGGAGTAAGTACATTTTCTAAAATATCCCTTGGGAATAATTACACATTAGAAAACACAGTTTTATAAGATCACACCCCTCTGGTTTAAAAATGTTGAATTATTTAAATAAATATAGGGCTGGGGGTTGTAACAATTTCTAAAGGTCCTCATTGCTGTTAATAATAAGTTGGAATATTATTTACCTAATCTTAGAATAAAAGAGAAAAAGGAAAAGTTTTTTTGGTTCCTAAGTGAATTCTTCAGTGCATCTTTGCTGGCCAGTGTAATAGCTTAATGTAAAAAGGCTTAAAGAAGTTATTATTAAGTGCAATCATATGCCTATCATCAAATGTTATTCCCCAAATGTATTCTGTTAACATGTTAATGCAAAATGGAAGCCTTCATTAGTTTTTAAGAGTGTCTTCAAATCAGATCATATGTATATAAATATCTGGAGCCCGGGGAGAAGGATGAGTGCCTCTGCTCCGTGCATTTATTCTCTCTGCAAGGAGACAACCACCAAGCCTGATGAGTCTATTATCGCTCCTTTACAAATACTTGGACTGACATCAGCATGTTGATAGCCAACCCCTTTGAAAATATCAAGCCATTAACATCTGAGGTTTTGATTCCCCAATTCTGTGCGTTGTATAAAAGTAAAAGACAATTTAAGTAGAAACTTGCTCGAATCTGACAACCCACAGTAATCCCACATTCCTGTGGAGCTATTGGGCTACAGTGCTGGGTGTGTATAATGTCATGTGTCCATATGGTAAAGCAGAAACTGATACAAAGCTGTGAACCCAATAAAACAAGAACAGGGCAGGAGAGTTCCAAATAACTTATCCAAATACAGATGTCTTCTTGTTTTTGTTGATAATCCAAATCTATCAAAAACTGATATAAGCAGGCATGGCTTCAGAAAAAGGTTAATCGACTAGCACCAAACAATATATGTGGATGTATATATATGTCATATTTATACATAGATATTAATTAGTGAAAATGGGAAACTGATATAAGCAGACATGGCTTCAGAAAAAGATTAATCGACTAGCACCAAACAATATATGCGGAGTATATATGTGTGTCATATTTATACATAGATATTAATTAGTGAAAATGGTTCACCAGTTTGATTACCAAAGGATGACTTCTGACTAATACACTCTCCAGGGTCTCCTTGGGAGTCAGGGTGGTGTCTCTGTGCTGGAGCGTCTGTGTGTCTGGCTAAGGAGAGGGCAAAGAGTGGGACCCAAAGGCCGATCCCCTAGGTTGAAATAAGCCTGTTACTGGGCTGGAAAACAGGGCAGGGGGTTCTAGTCGCTCTTTCTGGCAGCTTTGGCTCACACTCAGTCCATGCCCTGACTCCCCTGTTTCTTTGAGACAGTTCAGCCTCCCCAAGACCAAAACGCAACCAACCAGGCACATCTTCTAAGCAGAGAAGGAGGAGATACGGGAACCTGGGAGAAGGTCCCCGTTACTCCTTCCTTGGGAGCCTTCTCTTCCTGCTCACTCAGCCCTTTTCTGACAAGGCTCAACCAGACTCAGAAAAGTTAAAGGGCACAGCCTTTCACAGAACACATCCTCTCCGTTGCAGTGGCTAGCACTCACTTTGAGTCTGAACCTTGAGTAGGATGCCCTGTGCCCTTAACTTCTGCCATCCCAGGCAGTGGTGAAGGCACTGCGCTGCTAGGGGTGAGTGTGGCGGACAGACAGCACAACCTAGCCCTTTCTCCGGGTTACATTTGAGGTTTAGATTTTTAAGTCCCTTAGGTCCCCTGGGCTGGCTTTATCGCCGCTAGGAGAGGGCCTTACCCAATGTCAAAACGTTAGAGGATTAAAGTGTTTGGGGGTGGGGAGGAGGGACGCTGGGATTTCAGACTTCCTACTGCAAACTCACGGGTCTTCCCTTACCCTCCACAGTTCCCCCCCCCCCCTCCCCCCCCCCCCTCCCCCCCCCCCTCCTCTCTCCCTCTCTCCCTCCCTTTCATCTTCCCTCCCTCCCTCCTTTTTCCTTTCTTTCTCTCTTTCTGTGTATACAGCTCTCATTTAAAGAACAACATCACATCATACCTGGCAGAGCTGGTTACACAATTAGTCATAAGAGAAGCAGTATAAGCAGTGGTTAAGAGTGCAGACTCCAGAACCAGCCTGCCCAAATACCCATCCAAAGGCTGTCATTCACCAGAAGTGGACAAGTTGTTTGTCTTCCTCCTCTGTGAAGGAGGAGACAATAGTAACAGTACCTTTTCCTAAGACTTGGTAAGGATTAAAGGCACCCTGAATGGTATAATGTAATCATTAGTGTAAATGTGGATGCTACCATTGCAGTATATTTGATGTTCCCATGATACATTTGAGTCTTTTTATCATGTATCCATTGACCCTGGCATTTATTTCCCTACTGGACTATTAATGAAGGCAGGTCCCATGTCGTATTCATCTTTATAGACTGTTTAACCTAGCATTGTGCATGCCAAGTCAGAAATAGAAATGTAACTGATGACATCTGTTTGGCTCCAGCAAGTTGGCATTAGAACCATTTCCCTTCCCGACATCGACCCACTGTGTCCCCATGTAATGCCTTAATCTGTTTCTCCTTAAATACAACCTCTAGTTTCACTCAAAACATCCAAACTGCCCATGACTTTCTCATATCCTAGATTAATAATAAAGTTTTGGAAGCCTTATACTATCCATTGTGACAAGAAAATAAACATGTTATATAGTAAAATTGAAAAGAAAGAGAGGATAGTAGCTAATTAATATTATTCATTTCATACTTCATATAGATGATTTTAAAAATGTTTTGCTCATCTTTGGTTTTATTATCTATTTATAAAATGTGCAAAAAAACCTAGTAGAACAATCATTTCTATGCATGTAAGATATCAAAATAACCACAAATATATTATTAATGTACTGTCCCTTGAGTAAACATTAGTACATGCCTTTTAGAGGTATAAATCTGATTTAGATAAGTTAGTCTATTGATAAAGGGCCTGCCGGATTTCTCTGGACTGTGGTCCCCCCACACTCCCGCCATGGGCTTCCACAGTCGCCAGATTGAAGAGAACTTTCCCCGAAATCCCCTCAGGGCTGGGGTGTCCGCAGACTCTGAAGGAATGTACAGGAGGGGTAACATTCAAAACCCCCGTAGGGAGGGAGCTATTTTTTCTCTAAGAATGGAGAGGAGTCCCTCCAGCCTGAGACCCTTCCTCCCACAAACAGGGGGAGCATTAAATAAAGTGTTAACTTAACACTTTAGTAATCATGGTAGTTCATAATAACTAACTCCTTAACATTTAATTTTCCTTCGCTGCCCAGGCAAAGGCCTCCAGTCTGGACCCGGCGGCCTGAGGCCCGGGTGAATCTCCACAGCTGCCCCCTGGAGC